CCTCAGTGCTTCCCCGACTACTCTCCTTAGCTCATTGAAGTCCGCCCTCCTGAAATCCAGGGCTGCTGCCTTGCTGTAGGCCTTTGCCACCCCTATACGTAAAATGGGAATTATCATACTGAGGTACTTAAGTGGGTTGTAAAAGTTAGAGCGAGATCCAAAGAGAGAGAGACTTGGGCGAGATTTACCTGCCTAAATCCAAAATTACAATCCTGAAGGCCCCTCCTCCGCTGGTGCCTAATCCCAGCAGTATTTAAACCCCCCTCAGGCACATCAATTTTAAACCTTAATGTTACCCAAGCACCTAAATTCTGCTTTTGTGCACATACAGAAATTCCTGTCTTGACAGGACTGATCAGCTTGGCACATATTTTATGCCTAACCCTGGTAGCAATCCAAAACTAGATGGTTCCTCTGCATCAGGCATTCTCAAGCAAGCAAAACAGATCCATGTCTTCACAAAAACTATGATCTAACCTGTCCCTTAGTTCAGTTGAAGCCCATTACTTCTTGTCCTACACCAACAGAAGTGAAAAACAATACATTACCTCCTCTTTTACATATCTGCAGATGGTCATCATGTCTCCCTTTAGTCTTCTCGTTTAAAGTCTGAAAAAAATAATTCTTTCAAACCAAATTCTTTCATATTGTTTCCTCAAAGGTGATATATTTTTGACTCCTGACCACTTTCATTACTCTGTAGACTCTAACTGATCTGAATATTTAAATGGTACTCAAAACAAGACACAGTCTTCCAGCTGAGGCCTTATTTACACTGAGTAGAGTGGAAAAATCACTTCACATACCTTATATATAACAATTTTGTTTAAATCCACAATGATTCTTTAACTCTTGGATCACTCTCTCCTGGCAAGTAGCTTAGGGCTACTAACTCTCAGGAGCATCTGGGGCCTAGCCAATTGGTACCTGGGAACACTACCCTTTGTGCCAGATGGACTGCTGAAGCAGCCCTGAGAGTTCCCTGCACCCTCTACCCACTGCAGTGGTCTGGCAGTGGGGGCTTCTGCCTGGTTGTGACCTGCTGTGCACCTGCCAGACCCGGATGGGGATTGCACAGCCAGTAGAGGCATCGGCCCCTCTGGGGCAGCTGCCAGTGGGCTGTGACTGCAGGGTTGGCCTCTGTGTGACACTACTGCCATGTGTGCCCCTGCCTGGCCATCTGGGCAGCTATTGCCTGAAAGATGTTCCAGATGTGGTGGCCTGTTTTGAATTGTTAAAGCATGTCCTCCTGGCCCCAACTGGCTAGGAGGTCAGCCATAGCCAGCTGGGTCCAAGGTGCCAGCTCTGAGCAGGCAGGGTCCTGCCACTGGCCTCCCTAGCAGGAATTCTGGTGTTCCCTGCTGGAAAACTGTAAAATCCCCAATAAAAAAATCCCAAAGTCACCCTGTAAAATACCCCCAAATCCATGTTTCTCCATGATTAAAACAAAGCACCACTATAAAGAGAGACAGACAGAGACAGAGATCAGTTGGACAATGTTTTATTGATATATCTACAGTGTTAAAGCAAGTCTCTTATCATAATAAAAAAGTGAACTCTAAATATATGTTTTATGAATTCATGAATATATATTTTGCTGCCCTCCCACAGGGGCGATGGCCCCCACACAGGGCTTATGGACCCCCAACGGGGGCCAAATGGCCCCTGCAGGGGCTACCAGCCCCCCCACAAGGCCCACATGCCCCAACCCAGCCCCCTGATTGCTGCCCCACCTGGCTCCATCCCCCACCAGCTGCTGCAGCCCCCCTGATGGCAGACCCACCCCCTGCTCCCTCTGACCCCCCCAATGGCTGCCCCACCCAGCCTCACCCCCCAACTTGCACCCCCAGACCCCCATGGCTCCCCCCACAAGCCCAGGCACCATCACTTCTATCTCCAGGGTAGGTGATTGCACCACCTCTGGGGGAGTCTGTTCCAGACCCTGGGCCATCGAATCATGAAGAAGTTTCTCCTTCTTCTGATGCAACTGGAGATCTTTCTTCAAACATAAATGAGCCGTTACGTGCCTTCTTGCACCCTCCTCAATTCTTGTTTTGAGAACAAAAGTATACACTTCACTGCAGTGTCACAGTGAAGAAACAAGAGATATTTCATCAGCTTGAATTGATTAGCTGGAGGAAGGATTGTTTATCTTTTTTAAACCGCAGGGGCTTTAGGCTCTGAATCCAGACTATCCCATATTTATCTTTATGGAGCTGTATGTATCTTTGGCCTGCCATTCTCATTTGTGGTTTGGCAGTAATTCCCAGTTTATTCGTTACATGCTCCACAGTGCATTATTATGTGGCACTGATACCCCACTAAAGAATAAATATGAAGCTTTTCTTCCAAGGTAAGGGTGGAGATGTCACCTGGAGACAAGTACATAAAAAGAGAAGAGCAAGGGTAAATCTTTAAAAAAAGGGAACAAAACATTTCCAACATAACACACCTCAACTCACTTGGATATGTTCAAGGCACCTTCATGTCTCAAGATACTTTGTTTACTGTATTTTTATTATGGGCTTCCCCAGCGCAGGTCTACAGAAGCTTAATTGAGTCTGAGAAAACTAGAGTAAAATTAATGACTGAAAACACCATGTTTGATTTAGTAAAGAGAGCATCTTCTACACACAAGGACTACTACTGTTTCTTTGAAACTTCACTCTCAATATTACTCCAGATATGAGAGATGACCTTAAACAATGACACTATTAAAATTTCCATCAGTTTTAGAAGACATTGATTTTAAAGAGTCAAAGATTTTCTGTTGATATCTTTTGCTGGACTAACCATAGAACTGGAAGAAATGGTAGACAAGCTTTTGGGAACAAAGTGCCTTTCCTCAGTCTCTGTCCCAATTAAATATTTGGGCCAATAAAAAATACCACCAAAAATACTTGCCTTTTGTGGATTTCCTGCACTATCATGGCTACGACAACACTGTAAGCCTACTACACTTATTTAAAAGTAATTCTGTATAGAGGCAGACCAAAGGAAATATAAAATCATTATCTAACAAAGTAGATTATAGTTTACGAAAGCTTGTGACTCTCCAAAGCAGTTAATCTATAAAGGTGCCACCCTGCCCTGCCTTCCACCTAATTTCAGACTAAAACTGTTAACTACCTCATTCTACTCATGGGAGATTTGTGACTGAGCTTCCCATAGTTATGATCATTTGGGTTATTTGCATCAAGTCCAAAAAAGTTAGAAATTTTTGAAAATCTTAGGCAGCTGGCAGGTTAGTGTTGTTCTTAACACTAATTCAAGATTGGGGTGCGTAATTGAACAGGAGCACTAAGCTACTTGTTCCTTCTCCTTTTATATAATGGAAGTAGCAGCACAGTAATTGTTTGCATAGCTTTGAATTACTTTTCATCAAATGGTCAGAGGAAAAGTAATTTATTCACTATATAAGGAAAGCCATATGGTTATATCTAGATTTTAAGGTCATTCACCTTAACTGTTGAGAGTACTTGTTTCTGGTACCTTTTTGTCTAACACTCATATAGGGTGCCTATACATGTGCAGTGAGGCTGCTCCGACACACTGTAATTACAGCCCAGAGGACTCCAGTGTCATGTGTATCAGTGTTCCCACACTGAAAAATGGTGGTGGGAGCACTTTAACTAAATCTGTTCAATGAGCTTTAATTAAAGTCCCCCCGCTGCCATTTTTCAGCATGGGGGCGCTGAAATACATGACTCTCTGGGCACTTTACCTAGAGAGGCTCTTGGAGCTGCTCTAATTAAAGCGCCCCCTCCCCACCCAAACACATGTATAAATGCTGATGAAGCCGTGTGTGTGTGTGTGTGTGTGTGTGTGTGTGTGTGTGTGTGTGTGCGTGTGTGTGTGTAGCTGCTGTCACCCATATGGTTTTTTATGTTGAACCATTATAGTAGCTTTTGGCTATGGAACAGCAACTTTAAAAGTAAACTATAAGATATGACAATGAGCAGGCATTTGCCATTGCATGAACTATTAACAAAAATCCCAGAATGCCTATTTTTGAACTTTGCTTAGTAATTTCAACAATAATTTCTGAGTGTACATGGTTACAGAAAAAGGTCATGTTCACATACATGGGCAGATATGATAAACTTACACATTCAGGAATAGCTATTTGGACCAGTGCATTACAACACAAAGTTAGCTACATAAAGGCATATTAACTAAAAAAAAAAAAAAAAAAG